AAGAGTTAGAAAATTCTTTTGTACAAACTAAGGACACATGTCCTAGAATGTGCATCAAGGGTGTGGCTACACAATATTTTGTTAAAGCGATGAAGCCTGTGACTGATGGATCTAACCAACTACCACAGCAGAAAACCCATCAGCTTAGACTGAAGGGGACAGAGAAAGAATGAAAGGAAAGAATGCTATCTGCCTCTTGGAATTCTACAGGCGATAAACAAGCCAAAGGAGCTACATCTGTTGCCCTCTAAGAAAAGAAAAGGACCATCCCTGGAGCACTTAGGAGATCAGCAGAACTGTTGGAAGGAGCACAGGAAGCAGGACCTTCTTGGTTTCAAAGGGTGGGGGCACGGGCTCCTGGATCTCAAAGGGTGAGGCTACAGCCTCCTGAGTTTCAAAGAGTCAGATCTTCGCCAACTAGGTTCTGGAGTGTGGGGCTGCCATTAAGGTGTGCCAGGGGGATGGAGCTGCTGCCCAGAGCTGAGGGGGAGAATTGCCATGCCCAAGGGGCAGAAGAACAGGGCCTGTGCGGAACCAAGGTGGTGGGGTCACCACTCAGATGAACTAGGAGAATGGGGCTGCCCAAAGCCGAGGGAGTGAGCTGCTGTCCAAGTGGGCCTGGAAGGCAGAGCTGAAGCCCAGGGCTGAGGGGCCTCCACTCAGAATTCAGAGGGAGTGGCCAACACCCAGAGTGTGGAGGGCAGGGCCATTGCCCAGATGGTCTCAGAGAACAGAGGATTATTTTCAAGGCATGAGAGCTAATGTAGTTTGTTCTGCTGGGTTTTGGACTTGCTTGGTGCCAGTTATCCCTTCTTTCCCTCCAATTTCTCCCATTTGTAATGGAAACGTCTACCTTGTGCCTGTTCCACCACTGTACTTTGGAAACAGATAACTTATAGTCTAGATTTCACAAGTTCACAGCTGAAGAGGAATCTTGCCCCAGGATGGACTACACTAAAGTCTCACCCATATTTGATTTAGATGACTCAGAAGATGAGATTTTAGACTTGGAGTTGATTTAAGACTTTTGGGATGATGTGATGGGATGAAAGTGTTTTGCATGTGGCAAGGACATGAATTTGGGGGGGCCCAAAGGTAGAATGTTATGGATTGAACTGTGTCCGCCCAAAATATGTATTGTAAATCTTAACATCTATGTCTGTTGTTATCATTCCATTTGGGAATGAGTTGTCTTTGTTATGTTAGTGAAACAAGATTAGTGTAGGGTGTGTCTTAAGCCAATGTCTTTTGAGATATAAAAGAGATTAAACAAGCAAGCGAGGAAGCAGAGATGGGGGAAGAGAGATGCCAAGCCACGTGAAGATCGCCCAGGAGCAGAAGCTCAAAGAGAAAAGGACCTTCTTCTGAGCCAATAGCGAGAAAGTCTTCCCCTAGAGCCAGCACCTTGAATTCAGACTTCCGTTTGTTAAAGCCACCTATTTGTGGTATTTCTGTTATAGCAGCACTAGAAAACTAAGACAGGGGTAAAGGGTCATGATATACATAAACTACCTTCAAATGGTTCAGAAAAAAATTATATTTACGTATCCACCACCAGTCTGTTAGTTTGTGGTGGCTTGCATGTTGCTATGATGCCGGAAGCTATGTCGTGGTATTTCAAATACCAGCAAGGTCACCCATAGTGGACAGGTTTCAGTGGAGCTTCCAGACTAAGACAGACTAGGAAGAAAGACTTGGCAATCTCCTTGAGAAAATTATCCAATGAAAACCTTATGGGTCACAATAGACATAGTCCTACATAGTGCTGGAGGATAAGCTCCCCAGATTGGAAGACACTCAAAATTCACAGTGGCTGCCACAATGGATTGGCGCATACTAGGATTGTGAAGATGGCATAAGACCAGGCAAGGTTTCATTCTTTATACACAGGGTCATTGGCAACTGACAGCAACAACATACATACATATATACATTTAGAGAGAAAGTGCTAATGACAGCTTGCAAATGATAAAGAAAATGGGGCAAAATGTTCACAACTGGTGAATCTGAGTCAAGAGATAGGGTTGCTATGAATTGGAATCGACTCAACCGGCAATGGATTTGGTTTGGTTTTATGGGGGGTCAAGAGCATATATATGGGTATACTTTGTGCTGTTTTTGTAATTTATAACTTAATTTCAAAATTCAACGTTTGAAATGCACAGTAGCTCCCTATACTGATGAAGAATAGCAATCTAGCTACCTCTTAATCATTTTGTTGTGTGTCCAGCACTTCACTGAGCTCTCTGGAGGGCTATAAATGATGTTCCTTCCTTTAGGAAGTTTAACATCTCTTGAGGAGGGAAGTCCTTCAAGCAATAAGTTGAGATTATAAATGTTCAACTAGGAAGTTTGAAAATGGAGATGAGATCAAGATAGGTGGAGGGAGTCAAGAAAGGCTGCAAGAATGTAGGGCTTGAGCCTTGAAGGCAGGATTTAAATCAGTAGAGGATAGTTTAGTCAAAGTCAACAAACAGCTTGTGTAATTCAGGGAGGTGTCTGTGCAAAGACCAAGCAGATTGCAATGAAGAATGAATATTAGGAAGTATTGGAAAATATGGTTGAATTTTTCACCAGTCTGTAAGTTCCTCAAGGGCAGGGTCTAACTAGATGTCATGAAACGTTTCCTCCGTGGCATAGGGCACTGGGCCAAACCCACAGGAAGTGCTTAATCCTTGATGAAGCAGGACCCAAAACCAAGATAAGGAGTTTGTCCCTCAATCCTCTACATAATACAGAGTTGCTATTATTTCCTACAGGTGTTGAACCCAGGGCAGGAACTTTCTAAAGCCCAAGCCAAACAAGCTAAGACGGAGTGCTGGACTTGGATGAACACCAGTGGATGGTCTGGTGATAAGACCACTGTAAGGTACTACTACTATCTTAATGCATGTCTCTCAAGGAGTGCCTGCATTTTAAAGGAATGGCCTCAGAACAAATCCATCCTTTTAGCAGTGGGCTGAATCTCCAGAAGTGGTGCATTTCAGATACTGTCACATCTGGCTGAGAGTTTTGTTTGGGACTGGAGGTCCTATCCAGGACTTTTCAAAATATACCATGTAGAGAATGTCTAATGATAATACCTACCTCAGAGGATTGTTATGGAGATTCAATGGCTTCCAGAGTCAGCTTGAATGTCACCTCCCCTGTGAGGCCTCTCTGACTCCACCTCTCCCGTACTCACTACAAACAGAATTAATGGCTCTCTTCTGTGCTGCCACTGAACTTTGCACATGCCTCCTTCCTTCCTTCATTCATTCCCCAGTCACTGGGTGACTACTATGTTTCAGCACTATATCAGGCCCCGGAAATATAATGACAAACATCACAGAGTACCTGCCCTCAAAGAGCATACAAGAAGGAAGCAGACACAGAAACTAAAAAGCATAGTGAAGTTAGAGAGTCTCTGACAGACGAATGCCCTGGGGACTATAGTGTGGCCACAAAGAAGGGAATACCAGTTCTACCTAAAGAAGCAAGAAAACCCTGTCACTCTATTGCAGTACTGTATTCTTGTTTGATTATGAGGTCCTTTGAGGCAGGGTCAATGAATCCAGTAGGCATAGCACCTAGTGATACTTTTAGGGGCCCATGAAGAGGTTCTCATTTTATTTTTAAATCAGAAGTAAAATATAATAATGATGAGGATATGATGAAATCTAGCCTGGATTATATTCTTCTTTATGCCAACAGTCATAAAATATAATTTTAGATATGTATTTTTTTTCTAATGGAGGAAAAAGCCCACGGAAGTCAGAATGTTGCCCTGCTTTGAGGGCCAGGACCATGTTTTACCTGTCTTTGAATCTCCCATGTCTAGAACAGGAAGGGATGGATGATGGATGAATGGATGGAGGTTGAATGGTGTCCTATTTGTGTTCAAAGGGTACCACTTTTATATGCTTAACAGATGCCTTGTGTTTTGGTCAGACTGGACAGGACGCGGATTAACCTTAGTTCTTCCAACGGGAGCCCTAGTTGCTTGGGCTTCTTGAGGGTATTAGAGGCCTGGTTCTCTCCCTTGAAGCGGTTGGCATTCTCACCCACTCAGCAATTCCCCACCCCAGGAGCAAGCACTAGTCATCATAGCAGCCCCCCACCATCTGTGATTTAGCAAAACTGTATGTACATTTTACTAAATTCAAGCCCATTTTCCCCATTAACTTACATTAAAACTTCAGCCAGATAGTTTGTCTTCATTTCTAATTTCTTTTGCAAGGCCAGTAGCTTCTAACACCTTTAAGCTTGATGGTGCATAAGTAAGCACTCAAATGCATTAGAGGTGGGGTCAGTAACCTGTAGGCCAAGGGCCAAATCTGGTCCCACCACCTGTATTTGTAGGACCCTTGAGCTAAGAATTTTTTTGTGTGTGTTTCAATGGTTGAAAAAAATCAAAAGGAGAATAATATTTCAGGACACGGGATAACTATATGAAATTCAAATGTCAATGTCCATAAATAAAGTTTTATTGGAACACAGCCACACTCATCCTTTTCTATATTATATATGGCTGCTTTTGTGCTACGACAGCAGTTGAATAGTTGCAATAGAGACTGGAAAGTATTTACTAGTTGGCCCTTTACAGAAAGTTTGCTGACCTTTAACCTACAGCAATGGTTCTTAAACCAAAAAAAAAAACAAAAAACAAAAAAAACAAACTCGTTGTAGTCAAGTCGATTCTGACTCATAGCGACCCTATAGGACAGAGTAGAACTGCCCAAAAGGGTTTCCGAGGAGCGGCTGGAGGATTTGAACTGTCAACCTCTTCGTTAGCAACTGAGCTTTTAACCATTGCACCATCAGGGCTCCAGTGGTTCTCAAAACGGGGCGATTTTGTCCTCCAGGGGACATTTGGGAATGTCTGGATATTTTTGGTTGCCACAAATGGGGGAGGGGTACTGTTACTGACATCTAGGGGGCAGAGGCCAGGGATGCTGCTAAACATCCCACAAGGTGCAAGACAGCCCCCCACAACAAAAAATTATCCGGCCCCAAATGTCAATAGTGCTGAGGTTGAGAAGCCCTAGATTAGAGGCACCTAAGGTGAATACCTCTGGTAAAAGGGAAAACTCCGTGCTTAGTAAGGGCTATACAGCTTATTGAACGCCCAAGTATTTAACTTACATTAGCTCATGTAGCCTTCACAATGACACTGCAAGGAGTTACTGATAGTCTCCTTTTACGGAGAAGTTATTAACACAACTTGTCCCAGAGCACACGGTTAGCGAGTCTGTTTGGCTCCAGAGTCGGTATTTTTCCACAACACCCCAGTGCCTGTCTCTCTGTTCAGTGATGTCACAAGGCTATTGTCTCACTCGGCTGCCCCCTAGTGTGCAAGCTCCACAGAGGCAGGCCAATGTTGTTTCCTCTGCTACTCCTTCAGAGGCCTACTACAGGCCTCCCATACATACAGGATACAGACCACTCATGCAGTCTTCAACATCTGGCCATTCGGGAAATGAAGCTAAGGAAAGGAACCCACCCTTCTCGACTGCAATCAGAATTATGAAAACTGCCCACTCTCCCTCTTGCCCATTCTAATGCTTGGAGAGACAGAGGGCATCCCTCCCTGGTGGCCCCAGGACACAAAATACACGTTGCTATCTGTAGAATGCCTTTCAGGCCATAAAGAATAATCATATTCATGAATTCTCAGGATGCTCACAGCACAGCATTAAATGAGGGAAGTCGCGCGACAGAGTTATTTCTTCCCCTTTCGGAATTAAAACTCACCTGAAGCTCATTTTGTAATACCTGGCACTTCACTTCCTCCTAGATGATAATTAGTTCAACTAATCAGTTAAATCCATGCTAATAAGAGGGGAAAAACTGGAAGAGTTTCTGCCCACCCCCACCCTGCCCCGGTGGGAAAATTCTGGAAGATTCCCCTGGCTGGTGGTACCTCCTTGAGCCCGCCAAATCCCTCACTTGGGAGGCAGCCACCCACTCCTCCTGAGGCAAACCATGTGGGCCACATTACCTAATGATTTAGGATCAGATCACACAGCCATTTAGCATTTCTTTGAATTTTATTGAAAATTGACATGGACATTAGAAAGGTATTAAGCTAAACAGTGCTGGTTCTGGGGTGTTTCTCCTGGCAAATGAAGGCCCCAGAGGGGCAGTGACTGGTCACACCTTTGAGCAAAAAGAACAAAGGAGAAGAAAGGAAAAACAAACACAGATTCTGGAAAACATGCAAAGAGGCTCTCTCAAGAGACACCGGACAGCGGAATGCTGATGGATAGCGGTAGAGGTATATGGGAATGAGCACATTCACATGGTATTTTGATGCAAGGTAAACCAGTGAACTCAAGGCAGATTCATCAACATCAAAGCTCTCCCTCCAGATCTCAGGCTGAGCAGAAACTTATCTCAAAACCCAACTAGCCTTGGAAGGTTGAATTGTGCTCTCATTAAGCTGAAGCCCCTCTTGCCTCTCCCTTCTCCACCTGAGTATTAGCTAGTGGGTCCATATGTCCCCCTTGCTGGGGTCTGCAGTAGGTCTGTGAAGGCTGAAAAAGATACAAATGTTGTTTGACTTTCACTTCCATATTCAGAAATGTTTAATAGTGGCTGTAGACAGGCAATCCATGGAACCAGAGAATTAATTGTTGTTCAAAAAGAAAACCATAGAACTCAAACAACACCTTTTGAACGGCACTACCACACCCACAGCTGAGGTCTCCTGCCCCAGTCACTTACACTTGGGTGAGTTCTTCTGCAGTTGTCTCTGAGGTTACATTTGGTCCATTCTCCAGCTCTGATGGTTCTTACTCTGCCCTGTTAGGTTAGTACAAGACACTTCCATTTAAAATACCATATAAGTCAGAAGAGAGCTTCTTGCCTGGACACGGGGACACATGAACACTTGTTGAGTGTGTGTGTGGTGTGTGTGTGTGTGTGCGCGCATGCACACACGTGCACGCATGTGCACACATGCGCAATTTGAGGGCAGAGGGAATTGGTTCATTTCTGGTTTGAGACAATATGGAATCCTAACTCTTCTATAATGGCAGTCTTCTCCTTTAGACTTAGTGCAGCTGCTGAAGACAAGATTAAAAAAAGCTGGAGAGGGAGAGAGAAAGAGAAAGAAAACAGAAATTAGCCAAAGAAAAAGGACATTCAAAGTGAGACAGGGGGAGGGGAGTGGGCAGCGTTAGGTAGCACAGATTATTCTTTTGAGAAGACAGGTTAGAAATGGGGCCACTGATTGACCGTCACCACCAGTAAATCTGCTGAGAAGATTTTAAGAACACTACACACCGGTTTAAAGCTTCTTGTTTTAATGAAAAAACAAGCACATATTAACAGCCACATGTAAATACCAAGTGATTAAAACAAAACAAAAAAAATAAGAACAACAACAAAAGTGATCTGCACTGCAGCTAGGGAAAGCAAACTTCTTGGCTTAAGAGAAATGAGGGGCGTGTGTGTCCTTTTCAGAAAAGCCTTTCCATTCCAGTCTGGGAAAATAAAAGCCCAGACCATTTCTAATGACTGGTTTTGTTTCACCAGAAGTAAACAGAGTACTTAGGGTATTTTTTAAAAATAGAAACAATTGTACTAATTAAAAAGCCTTTTCACTGAAGCAGGAAAAAACCCTTCCTGTCTACAGTGAGAAAATCTACCTAATAAATATTTTAATTCTTGTTAGATTTTTGTTTACCAAATTTCCCTGTTGACAAGAATCACCAAGGGCACCTGTTAAATGTACACATGCCCGGGCCCCATCCCAGAAGTCCAGGAAGGCCGGCCAGCTAGCTAACAGGTGCCCTGGTGATTCCTACCATCAGCAGAAGCACTCAGTTGAGTCTTCTGCTTTGCCCCGCTCTCACCCACCCTGTCCTCTGAGGTCTTCCTGTGTGTGTGTGGGCGGGGTGGAGAGGGGTGGTGGGGAGAGGAGCAGCAGCAGCAGCAGCAGCGGAGGGGCTCTCTAATACTGACTGTTCTGTTTCTCCAAACGTCAAAAGGCCTTGTCTCCAAGAACACATATGAACGGATGGAATGCCTTTGTACAGTGAGTCAGGAGATACGGAATTTAGTTTGGCTTCTGCCATGAAACAGCAGTGGGACCTCTGGCGAGCCCCTTAACTTCTCTTGGCCTCAGGTTCCTCTTATGGAAAAAGTGGAACATATCTGTCTCTCCCCCTTGATATAAAATTCCTGATTTGGTCTCTGAAGGTCTGGCAAAGATTGTATGGCTCTAATGCTTTTATAATACTTTTTGTTGGGTGCAGTTGAGTTGATTTCTACTCATAGCGACCCTATGGGACAGGGTAGAACTGCCCCATACGGTTTCCTAGGCTTAATCTTTACGGAAGAAGCCCTGGAGGTACAGAGGTTAAACACACGGCTGCTAACCCAAAAGTTGGCGGTTCGGATCTACCCAGTGGCTCTACGGGAGAAAAGACCTGGCAATCTGCTTCTGTAAAGATTACAAAATTGGAAACCCTCTGGGGCAGTTCTACTCTGTCCTATAGGGTCACTATGAGTCACAATTGGCTTAACAGCAACGGACTTTTTTTTGGTTTGATCTTTATGGGAGCAGATTACCAGGTCTTTTCTCCTGTGGAGCAGCTGCGTGGGTTCGAACCACCAAACTTTTGGTTAGCAGACCTTTGGGTTAGCAGCTGAACGCTTAATCATTGCGCCACCAGGGCTCCTTAGAGCTCCTCAGCCCTCAAGTAGTTCATCTGTAAATACAGTAAATGCAAACATGGGGGGAGGGGCTCTTATTTATAATGTAAATAATCACTCGGGGTGTGGTGGGGAATAGAGATCAGTTGGTTGGTTGGTTTTAAGTTTGGGATTCATTGGAAGCAGCTCTGCAATTGGAGGTAAAAACATCAAAGCTGCAAACAAGATGCCTTTCCCAAAGAGACATAACAGCCGTAACCCAGCATCCTTCGGAGCTGCTGGCTGACTATCAGTGTCTCACCTCCAAGCCTAGGGTCTCCTAAAGCGCCCCACTGTGACTTGGATTTTCCCAAGAAAGTAGCTTCCCCTTGGCAGCCTCACCTCCCTCCCTGCCTCTGGCCACTAACCAGTGAATCAAAATGAGAGTATCCTTCCTAACTCACCACAAAATATACTTCAAAACTGCACTCTTGGCTTTGCCAACCAGAGGAGAGAAAGCGTGTGTGAAGGTTTGCTTTTCACGTTTCTCTACTTTTTGCTTCCTAATATGTATTATTGAAGAGAGAACTTGCTGCCCTCCCCCCAAATTTGCAACACTTCTGCAAGGCGTGAACATTTGCCATAGCCTTGTTTGACTTTGTGGTTTGAAAGTAAGTGGTCAAAAAAAAAACCTTCAAAACATAAAATCAACGAGAAGGTGGTGGTCATGGTCCGTGCCAGTGGGCCGGGGAGGCAGGAGCAAGTTGTGGAACTCAAAAAGCAGAGGTGGGTCTTGAAGTGATAGTGCATCGCAAGGGTGGGGTGGGGGCCTGGCTGCCTGGCACCCCAAGGGAAAGCTGTCAATTACAATAGGAACTGTGGCTTTAAAAGGCTACATGGAGTCCAGTCCAGCTGTAGCGGGGAATGCTATTCAGTACACAGCCATGGGTTACTGCAAAGGAAGGGCAGAGAAATGGCGTATTAGCCAAAGATCGTTGCCAGGGCACCTCTAGCTCTCACTATGTCACTGGCCAAACACCAAAGGCCACTGCCCCTGGTGGCCCTGACAATGTAGGGCTGTCTACTTCACAAAGGCTCCCCAAAGCCACTATTGGATGGGATCCACTATCAAAATTAGGGCTGGAATATTTTGAAATATCAAATTCTTGGACTAGAGATAAAATTGTTGTTAAGGGTCGTCGAGTCAATTCCAACTCCTAGCGACCCCGTGACAGAGTAGAACTGTCCCATAGGGTTTTCTAGGCTGTAATCTTTATGGGAGCAGATCACCAGGTCTTTCTCCTTGAGAAGGTTAAGGACCCTCTAAAGCACAACACCTCTTTTCTTCTGTCTCTCCTCTTCTTATTAGGGTACATGTGCAAAATGCATATTAAAAACATTCACCAAATAAATAGACTGGAGGAGGATTCATCAGCGCAAACCCGAAAACACCAATTCTTTGCCCACTCAGTTTGCCAGTTTATGAAATGGGATTACTGTACCTGGTACTGGCCCTACCTTATTGGGATGGGGTGGAGACTTTATGAGAAAATACAGAGGAGTTTCTGGAACCCCTCAGAAGAATTCTATAAGTCTATAATTCAAGACACTAGGCTGGTAATAGTATTCAGGTTTATTCTCCCTTCTGCATCCATGGAGTACCCAGAGTTACAGAGAGGAGAGATGCATAGTTTCTCCAGCAGTTGTGTTTTCGGGGAAAGGCTGGGTGTAAATAAATTCATCCTGGATTTTGAACAAAACTTGTGTGCCGGTTTGAGTGAATCAAAGCTAGAAAGGGCTGGGCTAGCAGGCCAGGAGGAAGATGCACTAGAGGATCTCCTTTTGGATACCTCAGTTGATGTGGAGTTGATTCTGATGCATGGCGACCCCATGTGTGTCAGAGTAGAACTGTGCTCTATAGGGTTTTCAATGGCTGATTTTTGGGGAAGTAGATTGCCAGGCCTTTCTTCTGAGGCACCTCAGGGTAGACTTGAGAAGGGGCTGTGACACCTAGTGGGGGGGGTGTCCAGGAAGACCAGTAGTTGGGGTGCAGGTGACTAAGGCGGGAAGCTGTGCTGACCAGTGGTTACCCAGCCATGGTGGATGCAAATCCGTCAGGGAAACAAGCAGCAATCAGAGTTCAAGCAGGGAAGCTGGTGGGGCCCCTGGACATGTTACAGTCTGGCAAAGACAGGGATGGATGGCTGGGGGCACTGGGAACAGAACTGGGATGCGGGGTGCATCTCCAAGCCACGCGACCGCTGGCTTCTTGACCAGAGGCCAGACACCGTCCTCAGACTCTCAGGCTTCTATGAACCTTGGCAGGAAGAGAAGGGGGACACGGGATGTATGCCCTCCAACTGTGTTAAAGGGTTATTAGAGAAGGGGAGGCCCAGCTCTGTTGCGCAGGGGAAGGGCGTCTACAGGAAGCCCAAACTGAAAATGAAAAGAGAAGTTGGGTTAATGAATGGATGGATTAATGTACAAAAAAAAAAAGAAAGGTCAGAAAATTGTTTAATTAAGTCACGATGACTAACAGATAAATTAGAATATAGCTATGTTAGATGACCTTCAGGTCTTATTGCATTGGCTCCAGGGAACATGCTTTCTCTCTCACACACCCACACACACTCCTGAGTGGCAGCAGTAGTGCCGTGAGCTAGCAAAATAATTATCACAACCACAAAAACACTTTTTATCTCTTCCTAATTACTACAAAACCAGTTGATGTGGAGTCAACTCCGACTCATGGCAACTCCATGTGTGTCAGAGTAGAACTGTGCTCCATGGGGTTTTCAATGTTGATTTTTCTGAAGTAGATCGATCGCCAGGCCTTTCTTCCAAGGCACCTCTGGGTAGACTCAAACCTCCTTTTGGTTAACCGTTTGCGCCACCTAGGGACTCCTGTGCAGAAATACCTTCAGCAAATCTCCAGGTGGCCTCAGGCCATTGGCTAGAGCTCCAGGTTCTCATCCACTGCATTTCCTTGTCCCATAGGGAAAACAGGGATTTGAGGTTTCACCTCGGGTAGCCTTCAGAGCGGTTCTGGTCAGTTAACTGATACCCCAGGGCAAGACCTGTTTGAGAAGTGTCTGGGGATGGCCACTAGGTTCTGCCCTAGGGTCCACAGCACAGTTACCTTAAAAGCCTGAGCTATGGAAACATGCTGATTTGTGTTCACATAGCACTTGCAACTTTGTTCCATTTAAACTGTATCCCCGTGACATAAATAGGGCCTGCAGTACCGATCCCCATATGACATATGAGAAAACTGAGAAACACAGAGAAGTCAACTGACATGCCTGTGGTCTCAAATAAATCACAGCCAGGGTCAGAGCCTAAATTCCTTGGCTGTCTACTCAATACTCTTTCCATCATATCACAGTGTCGCCGACAAGTCCTGGGTTGTGGCTATAAGCCCCTGTTAATTAGCTGAAGAGGCCCTGGTTGCGCAGTGGTTAAAGCACTCATCTACGAACTGAAAGGTCGGCGGTTGGAACCCATCACGTGCTCCGTGGGAGAAAGATGTGGCAGTCTGTTTCCATAAAGATCTATAGCCTTGGAAACCCTAAGGAGCAGTTCTACTCTGTCCTACAGGGTTGATATGTGTGGAATCGACTCAATGGCAACGGGTTTGGTTTTGGTTTTATTAGCCCAAGAATACATTTATCCCACTAAATAGACTACTAAATATTTTGGGGAGGGAAAGAGTTAAAAGCACGTTCCCTGGGTGGTGCAAATGGTTAACGCACTCGGCTGATAACCGAAAGGTTGTTGGTTTGATTCACCCAGAGGCACCTTGGAAGAAAGCCCTGGTGATCTACTTCCAAAAAATCAGCCATTGAAAACCCTGTGGAGCACAGTTCTACTCTGACACACGTGGGGTCACCATGAGTCAGAACTGACTCCACGACAACTGGTTTGGTTTCGTTTTTTAGTTAAAAGCACATACATAACACCTTCATGAGTAGGTTTGTACAGTTGCTTCCCCAAAGAGAATATACCCACATTCCCACACATGTACGTACATACACACACTTTGGGGACACACACACACACACACACACACACACACACTCATAATCAGGTGAATGGCAATTTATATCAGGAATTAGGAGTTCTGCATTAATGTTCCATTTCTACCACTAGCTCATTGTGTGATCCATGGGAAGTCCCTTAAAGTCCCCAGTATTCTATTTACTCAGCAGAAAGAGTAGCCTAAAAAACATAGCAATAGCCTATGTACTGGGCTGCATGATATATTTTGGTTGTATATATATATACCCTGGTGGTGCAAAGGTTAAGTGCTTGGCTGCCAACCGAACCCATCCAGTGGCTCCACTGGAGAAAGACCTGGCGATCTGCTTCTGTAAGGATTACAGCCATGAAAACCCTGTGGGGCAGTTCTCTTCTGTCACATGGAGTCACTATGAGTCAGAATCGACTCTAGGGCACCCAAGAACAACAACACATATTGTATGTACACTGTACGCCCCCCAAGACCATTAGCCATTGAGATATAGTCAAAAAAGGAACTTTTCTTACAAATGCAGACAGCTTAAGTAGTGCCTCCAGCAATTTCAAAGTCAATTAGTAAGCCTCACTCTGCCTGCCTTCTAGGTGGCCTTTGTGATCCACCTTTAGGATGATGGCTCTGGGGAGGGGGCTGGGTTGCCTTTGCTGCTTTCAGATCCTAGGAAACCAAGGCCCCCTTCTTCTCTTTGGAACTGTTTTTGTGGTTTGCTGTAGAGAAACCTGATAGGAAAGGCCAACCTCCTTTGGGTTGGGGTTGTCTGTTCCAGCTGTTTACCAATTGCCTCCCACATGTAAAGTGGGGCTTTAATGATAGTTTTGCCAAAATTCATTTTCGTAATGGCTTAATAATGGTTTACTCAGGGAAATCTGAATAAAATTATGTCAAACCATGTGCAATGGAGCCTAAATGAACTTACTAGGATATAGTTTTCCTGCTCTCATTGAAAATGGGGGAACAAAGAAAATAAGCAGGAACTGAACTCTTTTTCCTACTGTGCGTCAGATACGTTGCTAGGCGCTGAGACTACAGCTGTGAACAAGACACTAAGAATTGATAATCGTCTTCCATGGAAATCTGCTGTTTCCTTCAAGTCAACTAGCAGAGGCTCCAGATCTTCCTTTAAGCTAGACAGTAAATCATTTCATTGTTCTTTCAGATTGTTTCATTTGGCCCAGTTTCATGGGCCTTATGTTTCAGAAGCCTCTATGGACTTCCTCTTCGAGATTTGCTTGAAAGTAAGATGTTTTGCCACCTGCCCGATTCCCCAGTACAATAGCTGCAGCAATCAGTTTGGTGAGTAACAGCAGGCCCTCCATTTAAATCACACACTACATTGGTGAGAGGGGAGAATTCTTCTCAATATTTTATATTCCCAGATCCAAACAAACCAAATGTAAAAAGACATTTATGAGACAACTGGGAGGACTTTGACCACTGGCTAGAAAGCTGATGATGTTAAGGAAAGATTGGTAATTTTGTAGGTGTGGTAACAGTGGCACTGTGGTTATGTTTTCTTTCTTTTAAGAGTTGTTATCTCTTAGAGATACAAACTAAAGTATTTACAGATGAAGGGATGTGGCTTTTGCTTTAGCATAATTCATCGGGGGTAATAGGTGACACAGGATTGGCCATGGGTTGATAGTTGTTTGGAGGCTAGCTTGTGGGTATACTGGGCTTCATTGTACTATCCTCTCTTCTTTGGTGCATGCTTGAAAGTTTCCATGCTAAAGTTTTAAAAAATTATAAACATAATGATTTTAAATATAAAATATTTATTCTCTCTTCATCTACTACCTGAGTCTAGTAGAGTAGATTAAAAAAATAACCCGACTCATGGCAACTTTATGTGTTGTACAGTAGAACTGCACTCCATAGGGTTTTCATGGCTGTGACCTTTTGGGTAGCAGATCACCAGGCCTTTCTTCTGAGGCACCTCTGAGTGGGTTTGAATAACCAAACTTTAACCATTTGCACCACCCAGGAACTCTACTAGTAAAGCAGGTACCAAAAAACCAACCAACCAACCAAAAAACCAAAAAACACAAAACCATTGCTGTCAAGTTGATTCTGACTCATGGCAACCCCATGTGTGCAGAGTAGAACTGCTCTAGAGGGTCATGGCTTCAACCTTCTGGAAGTAGTTCACCAGGCCTTTCTTTCAAGGTGCCGCTAGGTGGGTTTGGACCATCAACCTTTAGGTTAGTAGTTGAGCACAGACTGTTTGTGTCACCTAGGGACCTTATAACCCATTGCTGTCGAGTCGATTCTGACTCATAGCAACCCTATAGGACAGAGTAGAACTGCTCCATAGGATTTCCAAGGAGCAGCTGGTGGAGTCAAACTGCTGAGCTTTTGGTTAGCAGCTAAGCTCTTAACCACTGTGCCACGAGGGCTCCTAGGGACCTTACAGAGGTGCTTAATCATTGCTTTCAGTTCCCTATAAGCTACATGAAGCCAGGGATCGTTTTGTTTTTCACTTCTGTGGATACAGCACCTCAGGAATCCTTCTCATCAAAGGTTACTGCTTAACTCCTTATCAAAGGTTTTCATGAATTTGGTACTTATAGAATTAAATGTAAGACATTCCCTATAATATCTGCGGTCTCTTCATTTTCTTCCACTTTTATTACGGTTTTTAGAGAGTACATAGCCAAAGGAAATTTGAGACCTTGAACCCCTCAGATAAGAAACAATCACTGTGGCATTAGGATAGGACTTGTGAGTCCAGCAGTTTCCCTCATCACTACAGCTGAGTCAATTTTCAAAGTAATAATTAAAGATTAGGGGCTCTATAAGAAAAAAATTGCCAAAATTGAAGCTCAAATACTAATCGCAAGATCTACCTATGATACCCAGCTGTTCTAGAAGCAAAAGTCTGAAAACTCTCCCTTTTTAATCAGGCAAGCAAGCATTCCACATGCATGCTTGAAATCACACCAGGCTATAGTTTAATGTTTTAAGTCACAAGAGGAAACCAGCTAGCCCTATGAAGCAGCTTCTTTTATGATTAGAGATGGGTGTGTGTATGAGTGTGTGGGGGGATTTGAGGGAATGTGTTCTAGAAGACACTGCCAGTTCTATTTAGAGTTAATAAAGCTTACCAGGACCCTGGGTCTCATGCAGCATGCAGCAAACAGCAGAGTTAACTGAAAAACATTAAAAGCTGATGATGATGGAGTAAGCATGAGGAGAAATCAATTATTATGAATTGACATAACCAATGAGGAGTTAGAGGTCCAAGGAGAAGATTAGTGGGGAGGGGAAGAGGGAAGGATGGGATGGTAGGACCCCCTGAAACACTGGCACTCTTTCTTAATCTCTTTAAGGGCCACCAAAGGAAATTCTGAATGGGTGACTATATTGGATCCAACCACCATCTCTCAAGAAGAAACAGTATTACCACCACCCCTACCTTCAAAACCCACCACCATCACCATAGGAGCAGAGTGGCATAAGTCTAATGGTGGAACTTCCAGAAGTTAACCAATTGTTCATGGAATTATGTAGGAAATCCAGAGCTGGGGCCACTTATACATTTGGAAGTATGGAAGAGGACAGGGCTCTCTTGTTAGGCCCTTATTGTTGATGTGTGGTGCCACACGCCAGCAAGGTTTACAGCCATCTCAAAAATTGGAAAAGGGCACCGTCACCAACACCAAATATTCCTGGGGACTGGAGAGAAGTGCCTCCCTACATAGGGCCTTCTGCTTGGGTGTTGGGAAATTTGAGGCAACTCGAGGGAAAGCCTGGAGGTCTGTGAGAAACTTGCCCTGAACATCTGAATAGGGAATATTTATAGTTTAGTGTCAATGGGGTCAGAAGAAATTATTCTTCTAATTCCTGCAAGCAGGTGGTGAAACTGCCCCAGGAACTGAGTTAACAAATATCACAGGACTCTGAAGGCAGCAGGTTAGAGCTGGAAGAAAAATTTAGATTTTTATGATCTTAAAAATAGGTATCCATTCTTGCTGGTGCAACTAATACATCACGACAGATCAGATAATATACGGTGTGTCCAAAGAGACTTTTTTTTTTAAGCTAGTTGAACTTCATCCATCAGATAATACCAAATGAGTGAATAAGTCAATGAATTTGTCATATAGTGCTATGATTTACTAACAAAAATCTCAAGACAAACTGGTGAAAATGTTCAAATTTTGAATAAATTGGATTGCAAAACTGAGTGTCTTCAAATATAAAATATTTTACTGTTGTACAAAAGCCACTGTTTTATTCCTAAGTGATAAAGCCAGGACTAGAGGAAAGGAAAGGTGTCTTTCTTCTGCCAAATATCTGAGTTAAATCAAAGAACAAGTGACTAAAACTAGGAGGCAATGACCACAGACAGCTTTCAGATCCTCAGGCCCCTTCAGTAAGGACATCGTTAAAACACTCCATCTGGGGGCTCTTCAAGTCACACTGCACAGACAAGCTAAAGAACGCAAGGGGACCGCTGGATACTTTCTTGATATTGTACAGGTCCCAGAGGAAATGCTTTTCTCTTCTCTGATTCTGGGATGAGGAGTGACTGGTAACTTCAGTAAGCAAAGATGGATTGGGTCAGGATTATTGCCCCACTTGGTTGGTAACCAGTTGCCCATGCTATCCTGCCTTATCAAATACCCGGAGATATAGGTTGATTTTAAAATCATTCCCCAGATGGAGGATGGGGCACACAGAGTACACTGGTATCTGAGCCTCTCCATCAAGTTCTCAGTACCCCAGGCCACGAACAAAGCAGCAGCCAGGAGGAAGGAATGGCAAAGGGGTGGGAAATCAGGACTGGGCTGTGGTCTGCAGCAGTTAAGCCCTGTTGGCTGCAGCTAGTGAGAACCAAGGCAGAGTGAAGTCGGAACACAGGCATGTGTTCCAGAACATGCCTCAGATATAGAACCATCACACAGGCCCAGAAGCCAGATCAGCTCCAATCTCTCAGGGAGAAAGAGGGGGCCCAAAAGTCTCTGCTAAAGGCTCTTTCTTCCAGTCCTCTATCTGCCCTTCTTTTTATTCCTCTCTCTAGTATAGCTTTGCAGCTCTCATTGTTTCCACTCTTCTTCTACTTTCTCTCTTTCCTTTTGCTTTCCCTCCCTCTACTTCCTCCCTTAAGTTTATAGGGCTTTTCTAAGAGGGGCTGGGCCTCTGAGGCCACACTCCTCCCCTACTCTCAGCTCCTCAACCTCATGGAATACAAAGCCCCCTGGGAACACTGAAACCAATTATAGGTGCCCAAACAGGTCTAACAGCCCCCAGTTCACCTCTGGTCACTAGCCCTCAGCCCCCTCCCTGAGGGGATGAGCAGGAGGAGCAGCCACCACCCCAGCCCAGCCTACCACTTACTTTTTCTTCTCTTTGTCTCTTTTCAGAGTCTGTGACCCTCCAGCCTGGGAACCCTGGGACTGGAGCAGCTCGGCAGCCGTCTTTCTCTGTTTGAAAGCATTCACTTCATCTTCCAGGGATTTCTTCTTATCCTCCAGCTTCTTCTTCTCGTCCTGGTGTAGTTTCTTCAGTCGGTCAAACTTCTCATGCAGCTGGAGGGGAAGCACAGGGAGTTTGGGGAGAGTCCCCCACCATTAGCAGCCCCCAGCACAGCTGAGCCCAGTGTGGTGGTGGTGGGGGCTGGCAAGGTTGCAATCCGGCAGGATCCTGGGACCTTAGAAGACATTTCTGCCAGCGACTGCCATGATGCCACCAAAAGACACGATGCTTTGGGTTGTTCTTTGCGTTTATTCTCTGCTACTGAATCTGTGAGAGAACCCCACTTTCTGCTTCATCAAACATCTTGTTGCAAAGCGTCTCCATAGCTACCACACATGGTTAATGATATCACTGATAATAATCTAACATAGGCACTTGGTAAAGTAGAGGGTCAGAGAAAAAGAGGAAGACCCTCAATGAGATGAATTGATGCAGTGGCGGCAACAATGGTCTCAAGCATAACGATTGTGAGGATGGCACAGGACCGGGCAGCGTTTCGTTCTGTTGTACATAGGGTCACTACGAGTTGGGACCGACTCGACAGCACCTAACAACAACAACCTCATTTAATCATCACAACAATCCTGAGCTAGACTCTGCTATCTCCATTTTGTAAGGAAACAGACAGTCAGAGAGGTTAAGGAATTTGCCCAAGGTCAAAGAGCTAGGAAGTGGCAAACCCAATCTTTAGAGGATTGCATAATGGGACCTCCCAATATGAAAGAGGTCCCTTGCCTTTTCTTGTTCCCTGCAATCAAGGAGGATCACCATGGATTGCAGAGAAAACTTCAGCAATGCTAAAGTTGGTGAAAGAAAATTCTTAGACTTGGACATGGAAGGAGACAAAAGGATTTTATAACATGGAATGATGGTGAAGACCTCAGCTTTGACCAGGGGGAGGCTTAACTAGCCCTGAACAGAACCAGGGAACCAAGGAAGAACAGCAAGAATGTTCTGGCACACCATAATGATAAGTGGATCAGAGAGCAAGAGGTATAGGCAGTAACCAACAAGAATGCAATAAACTACCCTGAATACTAAGAGCAGACCAAGCATAATCTCACTTTCTTTTGAGGATTCAGGAGAGAATTTAGGATTCTTTAGCACTTGCAGCACCCCATGAAGGAAGTCAGTTTTCCAGGCCCTATAGGTATTTGGGACTGTCATTTAGTAAGGTATGGTGGATGACAGAACTTGCTACATAAACCAGCTTTTACTAGTCACGCCGGGTGGGGTGGTAGAAGCTCTGTCAGCTGCTTTCACCTGGCTCTTGTTCATTTGACTTTTCTTCATTGGCAATCCCTTCACCTCTCCTCAGAAAAGCACTGAGTGACATTTTTCTTTTGAAAAGTGAAGCTGAAATAAAATCGACACTCTTGCCACAGGCTTTGGTGAGAACCCTGGAGAACCACAGCAGATTAAAGATGGAAGACACTTGGAAGTCATTAAGCACCTCCCTTCTTTATGGTTGAGGGTTTTGAGGTAAAGCAGTTGCTGACATGACCAAAACTGTACCTTAGGCTAATGAATCTGGCAGCAGTGGGAGAATTGTTAGGGGAGGAGAACTTGAAGGGCAAGGCGACCAGTTAAAGGACTGTTATTATTGTTAGGTACCAACAAGTCGATTTTGACTCATAGCAACCTCATGTGACAAAGTAGAACTGTTCCATAAGGTTTTCTAGGCTGAAAGATGTGGCAGTCTGCTTCTGCAAAGATTTACAACCTTGGAAACCGTATGGGGCAGTTCTACTCTGTTGTATAGGGTCGCTATGAGTCGGAATTGACTCAACGACAACGGGTTTGGTTTCTGGGTTAATCTTTACGGAAGCAGATCACCAGGTCTTTCTCCCTCAGAGCCACAGGGTGGGTTCAAACCACCAACCTTTCTTCGTCGGCAGCTGAGCACTTAACTGTTGTGCCACTAGGGCTCCTTAGAGGATTAACTGTACTAATTCAGGCATGGCTTAAGTAATAAAAACCCCACATAGGATCGTCAAACCTTAGTTTAAAAACTCACTAAAGCTGCATGGATGATTCTTTAACTATAAAATGAAATGGAACAGAATACTCAAGTGAACAGGGAAATGCCCCAGCTGTCACAGTTTTAGGTTTTAGCAAGGTACCCAGGACTTCTGAGCACCATCTTTCCCATAGCCATGGGGACCAGCACCAGAGAAGGTGTGATGGGGCAGAACAGCCAAGAAAGTGGTCAATTTTCCCTACTGAGCTCAGGACGCCCAGGAAGAGAGAAAAGAAGCAGTCTGCACTTGACCTCAAGGGGGCATGTCAGGACTCATCTCTTTAGCAGCACTATCCAATAGAACTTTCTGGGATGATGGAAATGTTTCGTATTGGTGCTGTCCAGTACAGTAGCCACTAGTTGCATGAGGATTGAGCATTTGAAATGTAGCCAATGGGATCGAGAGATTGAATTTTAAATTTTATTTAACTTTAATTCATTAAAAAGTTTTTTTAAGGGCCACATAAACCAGAGACTCCATCAGCCTGAGCCCAGAAGAACTAGATGGTGCCTGGCTACCACCAATGACCTCCCTGACGGGGAACACAACAGAGAGTCCCTGACAGAGCAGGAGAAAAGCAGGGTACAGAACTCAAATTCTAGTAAGAAGACCAGACTTAATGGTCTGACTGAGACTGGAGGAACCCTGGAAAGCATGGCCCCTGCATTCTCTATCAGCCCAGAACTAAAACAATTTCTGAGGCCAACTCTTCAGACAGGGATTGGACTGGACTGTGGGACATAAAATGATACTCATGAAGAGTGTGCTTCTTAGCTCAAGTAGATACATGAGTCTAAATGGGTAGCTCCTGCCCAGAGGTGAGATGAGAAGGTGGAGAGGGTCAGGAGCTGGTTGAATGGACACGGGAAATTCAGGGTGGAAAGGAGGAGTGTGCTGTCACATTATAGGGAGAACAATTAGGGTCACACAACAATGTGTGAATAAATTTTTGTTAGAGAAATTAACGTAAACTGTAACCTTTAACTTAAAGCACAATTTAGAAAAAAAGACAAAAAAAAGTTTTTCTAGTTGCCATCGAGTTGATTGCAGCTCATGGTGACCCCGTGTGTTTCTGAGTAGAACTGCACATAGGGTTTTCAATGGCTGTGACTTTTCAGAAGGTCCCTGGGTGGCAAAAATGGTTTGTGCTTGGCTGCTAACTGACAGGTTGGTGGTTCGAATCCACCCAGTGGCACTGCCAAAGAAAGTCCTGGTGATCTGCTTCTATAAAAAGATTAGAACGAAGAAAACACTATGGAAGAGTTTTACTCTGTAACACATGGGATCACCATGAGTTGGAATTGATTTGGTGGCAACGAGTTTGGTTTTTTTGGTTTGGACCTTTTGGAAGTAGATTGTCAGACTTTTCTTCTGAGGTGCCTCTGGGTGGATTTGAACTGCCAACCTTTTGGTTAGCAGCCATTTGCACCACTCAGTGACTCCAATCTAAATTTAAATAGTCACATTACCTAGTGGTTACCTAATGGGACAGCACACCTCTAGAGAGCAAAATAACACAGAATGAGAACACATCCCAGCTTTGGGGAATAAGGGGGTGAGACCCCAGTCTCTCAGCCCATTCTGTGCCAGCCAAAGCAGGACTACATATGCCATGCCCATCCTTGCCCAGAGCCTGCAAGGCTCCCAGCTGGCTGCTCTCTAGGGCTGAAGCCCCCTGCCATGCCCGAGTCAGCCTCCTTTCCCATCCAGCCCGGCACCTGGGCTCTCATTTACCTCTTTCTCTGCCTCTTTGAGCTCCGCTTCTTTCTCTTTGACTCTCTGGACGAACATCTGCCTCATCTCCTCTTCTTTTTTCTGGAGCTCTCCTAGGAACTCATTCCTTTTGGCCTCATATGTCTCCTGTAAACTGCGAACATGGTCAGGTTAACTCCACTGCCTTCTGAATGGTTCCTATTTGATGAAAGTTGCCCCCACTGACATTCCACAGGTTCCTCCAGCCTCCCTTCCCCATTTCTGGGAGAAGTAAAAAAATTAAAAAAAAAAAAAACAGAAGCATCAAGCTGTGGGCAGCTAGCTTGGCATGTGACAGCATGAACACAGAGCTGCTTGAGGGGGATGGGGCAGCCCTGGTGAGCTGGAGAGTCATTTGGAACTGGGAGTGACTTAGGAATATCTGGTTCTATACTCTCATTTTATAGATGAGGAAACAGGTTCAGAGAGGTGAGGTGACTTGCCCAAGGTCACAGAGCTAGTTAGAGGCAGAACTGGGACCAGAAAGTAGGTCTCCTGTCTCTTAATCTAGCTGCTTACACTGCAGTATGCTGCCAGGCCCTGGCTCTGAAACTGACCATATCAATTAATTATTTCAACAAAGATGTGATGAGACTCTGCCATGTACTAGACATAGTACTGATCGACACTATGCTAGTCGCTGAGCCTCTAGAGCTGACAGACACAGTGCTGATCCTCAAGGAACTCACGGTCTAGTGGGAGACGCCTAGGCTAACTCTCTCTGCCCCTGGCCTGGAATTATTTGTAATGAAATAGCAGTTAGCATGGTGAAGAAGCAGATGAACTGTGCTCCAAAGAGGGCAGCATGTGTAAGGGCACATGTGGAGAGAGAATGGCATATTTGGGGGGCCAGATGTGGAATTCAATATGGCAGGAGAGTATCACATAAGCTGTGGAATAATGGGAGAGGAGGTCACTGGGTCTGGTAGACAAGGACAGACTTTGGAGGCCATATTCAAGAAATGGACATTTCTCCACTGCAGGGTTTTAAGCAGGGTGCGGACTTCCAATCTGCAAATTAGAAAGACCACTCTGGCTGTTGTGTGTGAAGGGCAGACTTTCCAACAATCCGCATAAGAAGTGACGGGATCTTAATGTTAAGGGTTGGTAGGAAATGGAAGGGAAAGGTGAAATCTGAGGAAAAATAAAGGAAGCAGAACTCCCAGGACTTGGGAGGAATCAGAGATGATTCCTGTTTTTGGCTTCGGCAACCAGGTGGATGGTGGTACCATGAACTGTGAGAGGGAACACTGGAGGAGGAGTATGCTGAAGACAGAAGAAGATGAATTACATTTTAGATAGGATGAGTTTGGGCTACCTATGGTATGTCCGAGTGGAAAGATCCAGTATGCAGTTGGATCAATGGGCTTGGAGCTCAAAAGTGAGATTTTAGCCTGGGGGTCATGAGTCGTGTACTCGTAGGTGGTGATTAGGGCTGCGAGAGCAGAAAGAAACGGCTGCAAAGAGAGTAGAGCGTGAAAAGAGTAGAGGCCCTAGGAAACAATTCTGGAGAATACCAGCATTTAAAGGAGGAATCTGAAGAAGATGAGCCTGCAAAAGGGCTGAGAAGGAGCAGCTAGAGACACAGGAATAAAACCAGCCAGGTCAGTACCGAAAAATTTTTTTTAAAGACCAAGGCACAGAGCACTTCAAGAAGGAGGCAGCAGGGAACAGCACTGACTGTTATGCTGAGATCCAGTAAGATGGGATTAAAAGGGTGCTCTGAATTTGGCTATGAGTATGCAATTGCTGGAAGAGCCCTGGTGGCACAGTGGTTAAGCGCTTGGCTGCTAACTGACAGGTCGGTGGTTCAAACCCACCAGCCGCTCCACAGAAGAAAGCTGTGGCAGTCTGCTTCCATAAAGATTTCAGCCCAGGAAACCCTATGAGGCAGTTCTACTCTGTCCTATAGGGTGGCTATCAGTTGGAATCGACTCTACAGCAATGGGTAATTGCCATGGGTAACAGGTAATGCAATTGTTGACCTGGGAGAGACGCATTTCGGTGGAGCAGTGAGGGCAGGAGCCACACTGCATTGGGTTGAGGAGTAAAGGTAAGATGAGCAAGTGGAGACAGTAAATATAGAACAACTCTTTCTCCTTTCCGCAGATCCAAACTTCTTGACAGGGCAGAGACTGGGAGGAAGAGCAGGGCTAAGGGAGAGTTTCTTTAGGATGAAAATGTTTATATGCAACACAGAAAGGAGCCAGTAGAGAAGAGTGAAGAGGGTGAAGATAAGGGAAAGAGAGAGGTATTTGGGATAGAGCAAAGGAGGAGGTGGTGTTGTTAGGTGCCACAGAGTGGATTCTGACTCACAGCAACCCTATAGGACAGAGTAGAACTGCCCCATAGGGTTTCCAAGGCTGTAATCTTTATGGAAGCAGACTGCCACATCTTTCTCCCACAGAGCAGCTGGTGGGTTCAAACAGCCGACCTTTTGGCTAGCAGCTGAGTGCTTAACTGTTGCACTATCGGTACTCCTTCAAAGGAGGAAGAAATCTGCTGCCGTCGAGTCAATTCCGACTCATAGCAACCCTACAGGACAGAGTAGAACTGCCCCAGAGTTTTCAAGAAGTGGCTGGAGGATTCAAACTGCCAACCTTTTGGTTAGTAGCCGAGCTCTTAACCGCTGTGCCACCAGGGCTCCTTCAAAGGAGGAGGGGAGGGGAATAAATGTAGAGGTAGAGGGATCAGTTTAGAACAGGAAGAGGCACATCTCTTCCTTCACAGATGCAGATAAAGTTGTCAGACGGGAAGGAGAGAAAAAGCTAAGGGAGCTCCCATCAGATAGAGACAAGCACACCTTCGTCCAGCCGCAGGAGCTCCAATGGCCTCTGTCCTTGCCCGTCCATTTAGGAAACTGAGTCTGCCCCTCCTGAACCAGGTATCCCCAAAGGATTGCCTAATGCTTTGCCCCTGGGTTGGCTTTCTGTTGTGAACAGGTACTGTGGGATTTCAGAGGCCATTTGAAAGCCTTCTTACCCCATACACATGCCCCTTACTTGCTTGACACTTTCTGAAATGAGACTAAGCCTTTCCTTCCACAATCAAGGGCACCACATGGTTATTGAAAATATGGGGCTTATGTCACATGTCAGGCATATAGATCAAACACTTACTTGGGATCTCACTCCTAAAGTATAAGTACAATGAGCTGCTTTTGAAAACATTCCTCATCTCAGACAGCATCGTAGGTTCTGATTTGAGGAACATGCCAATGACTATTAACATTCTGTGGTCAAAACAAATTGTACACTTGAATGGAAATGTTAAGGACAGTGAATGAAGGCCCTGCAGTTCATCTCCACGTGGAAAATCACCACGACCCAGTCCTATCTGGTGTGGATCATGGGGAGGAGGGTGGAAACCTGACAGTCCAGTAGAGGTCTGATGAAGAAAGTGGGGCAGAGGACAGCCACAAAGGGCCATGCTGCAGAACAAGGCCCCAGCTCAGGGCTCTCCTCCAGCACAGGCTGGCTGGAGCACTCATGTGTGTGCTTGTGATGGTGCCTCTGTCTTTTCCTCACTCATAGGAGCAGGATGGCAGTGCTTACAAGCCTGCCCAGCCACTGCTCTCCCTGGCAGCTGTGCAGGTGCAGATTGGGAATGGGTAAGTGGAACTACCAAGTGGGTTACCTCTACTCCTCTAGGTCTTAAGCACCCTGTCTCTCCTCCATGGTGAATTCGTCAGGGCAAGGCTTGCACACCACCTGGTTGGGCTGAGCTGGGCTGGGCTGGAGGGAGAAGTACCTGAAGGGTTTGCTGTCAGGGTCGGTGTCCTTGAAGCCCATCTCCTCCAGCTTACAGCGACGGTACAGCTCATAGTGCCGAGTGTGGGTCTGCTCCCGCAGATCCTCCATGTTGACCCGAATCAGCATCTCCCGCAGCTTCACAAAGTCGCAGTGGGCCTCGTTTTCAACTGCATAGCAGGGGATGGGGTATTGAAAGTATATTGAAAGGAACGCCAGCAGAAGCAGAAATGGATGAAACGAGAGGCAACATGTCTAACAGTGACATCGCCTTGCAATCTGTGTAATCAGAGCCTATGTATTTACTTCCTAAATTGCTTTTCTACTGGAATTGCTAACGAAAAGTGACCGAGATTACAATAGTGGAAAACGGTACTACCATAAAAATATCTAAGAAGACATGCAGTAGCACCTCAACCCCAATTCACCAATCAGAACCCTCACAGAAATCTTCGTAGGACAACGGCAATGTGCATTCATCCATTCATCCAATAAATATTGGTTCCCAGTATTGTAGGAGGCACTGGGAATTCAGAAATGAAGCCATGGAGTGTTGCCCTCAGGTGCTTACAGTTTAACGGAAGAATTAGATGCAAATCAGCAAATATAATAATGCAAAAACTACAAAAATGGAGACAGAGCCAAGGGGCAATAAAAGCCCAGAAGAGGAGGGCCTAAGATCACCTGGGAGACTGAAGGCTTCACCAAAAAAAAAAAAAAAAAAAAAACCTTAAGATGACTTGTAAACAAAGAGTAGGAATCTATCAGGCAGATAAGGGAATCCTTGCGAGATCCCAAAGAGGTTAGGCAAGGTTACATAGCTAGTAAGTTGCAGAGTTGGGATTCAAACACAAGCGATCCAGGCTATAGGGACTCGGGGGGAGACAAAGGCTACGGCCAGGTGCCAAAATCTCCAAAGAATAATGGGGAAGAACTAAGATATCGTTAGATGACAGTGACAAGGAGGGGTGTGGACCACAGGTACAGTCCATCTGGATGGTAGGAGCTTCAGTGGAGGTGGTTTTTTAGAGGGTGGGTAATGGCATGACAGCATCAACAGTGACCAGGACAAAGTGGACCCCACCTTCCAGCCCAAAGCAGGTGAGTCCTGGGTGAACAAGGCCCCTCTACAATAGATTGTGCATTTTGGGCAGCACCCAAAAGTGACGGAGATGTGGACCAAATCATAGCAACGTTAGTTTCCTGTTGGAACATGAGGGCATGAACAGTGCTCTGTCAAGATGTCTACAGGTGTGGCTTCACTGTGGTGGAATGGTGGTGTTTGGCCTGACCATGGAGGGACAGTAGTGTCTGAGATGATGAACAGGCACAGTGACCTCAGATTTTGTCTTGCAGTGTCTGGGAGAGGGTAGTAGGGGCAGGGAGGGAGTTTGGGATGACACGGTTTGGGCACAGTTGCAACAGACTGCCCGGAGGTTATCAGACTAATCTTTCCAAAGCCCAAATTGGCTCATATAACTCCTCTGCTTAAAAATCATTGTCTTCAGGATAAAGTCCCCTACTGTCATAGAACATAAGCTAATTGGATTGGTAAGGCAACTTCTCAGGACTACCAAATATATCATCTCCTTCTCCATCTCTGGACAGTGATCCCTGGTGGTCAGTCAGAACAAGTGACTCCAAGGCCCCTGCAGGCTGCTCAGTCAATACACAACTTCCTCCTCTCATAATCGAAAAAATGACCTCAGACTTCCAAGAAAATAGAAAATTTTCAAAACCACTATTTTTGGTTAGGTGTGGAGAAGTCCCAGTTGGAGGAAGTCATCGGAACCACCTCACTACCTTCTCCTCATTTCACCTCAGGTTCCTATCTCTCAGACCACAAGTTTATTCCCCCAGTGGGACTGTTGGTCCAGAAAGTATTTGTAAATGTTCCTAGTGGAGCATCTCCAGTCCCACATGGGAGAGAAAACCAAAACTTAGCATAGCTCTGGTAACCTGTCTTGTCCTACCTATGGAAAATACTGTTATTGCCAGTGGGTCTCTGGTGTGCCCTTAAACATGCTAGCCTTTGCAGGTGATGTGGACAACTCGCCACTCACTTGCAGTTGTTTAGCCAATAGTAGGGACAAGTTTACTCTGAACCAGCTACACTCTCACACATGGTGCCCCTTGTGATCAGTGGCCCGGCTTATAGGTGTAGACTATGAGAACCAGAGACCTCTTCCACCCATGCCAGTGTCCTAGGACTTGTTTTATCCACTGAATTCGCTACACCTGAGGGTAACATAACACGCATCAAACCCATTGCCATAGAGTCGATTCTGACTCGACGACCCTATAGGACAGAGTAGAACTGCCCCATAGGGTTTCCGAGGAGCGCCTGGTGGATTCAAACTGCCGACCTTTTGGTTCGCAGCTGAGCTCTTAACCAGTGCGCCACCAGAGCTCCACGCATCAAGCAGACCACAAAAGGAACTTTTCTGAGTGTATATACAAGACATCTGACTGTTATTAAATCATGAAATAATCATACATACAAGAGGGCATGAAATGTGTGTGTGTATTTAAAGAATTAAAAAAAAAACAAATCAAAACCCATGTATCTTAGACCCAGATTAATCAGTAGAACATTACCAGGCCCCCTGTGTGCCCCTTCCTGATGACATGCGCCTTCCTCTCCCCAACAAGTTGTAACCACTATCCTGACTTTTGGGATTATCATTACCTTGCTTTTCTTTATAGTTGTACCACTTCTGTGTGAGTTCCTAAAAATATATATCTTGTTTAGCTTTCCCTGGGTACCTAGGTGGCACAAATGGTTAAGTGCTTGACTACTAATTGAAAGGTTGGTGGTTCAAACCCATGCAGAGGTGCCTTGGAAGAAAGGCCTGGCAATCAGCTTCCAAAAGGTCACAGCCATGAAAACCTTATGGAGTGCCGTTCTACTTTGCAACACATGGGGTCTCCATGAGTCAGAATCTACTTGTCATGGTTTGAATTATGTCCCCCCAAAAATGTGTGTATCAGTTTGGCTAGGTCATGATTCCTGGTACTGTGTGATTTTCCTGTATGTTGTAAACCTGCCTCTATGATGTTAATGAGGGAGGATGGGTGGCAGTTGTGTTAGTAAGGCAGGACCTGATCTACAAGACTGGATTGTGTCCTGAGGCAATCTCTTGAGATACAAAAGACAGAAGTGAGCAGTGAGACAGGGTGACCTCATACCATCAAGAAAGCAGTGCCGGGAGCAAAGCGCGTCCTTTGGACCGGGGTCCCTGAGCCAAGAAGCTCCTAGTTCAGGGGAACACCGAAGGGAAGAAGGCCGACAGAGAGAAAAAGGCTTCCCCTGGAGCTGACGCCCTGAGTGCAGTCCCTCTCCTTGGTGTCCCACTCACCCTGGACCATGCCCCAAGGATACTGCCGTGAATTTGGACTTTTAGCCTACTTTGACTGTGAGGAAATAAACTTCTCTTCATTAAAACCATCCACTTCTGGTATTTCTGTTAGAGCAGCACTAGATGACTAAGACATTCAGCACTGGGAATTTTGTCATCTGTTGTGATTTTCCTATGTGTTTGTGGATCCTAAGTCTATGATGTTAATGAGGCAGGATTAGAGGCAGTTATGGTAAAGAGGCAGGACTCAATCTACAAGATTAGGTTGTGTCTTAAGTCAATCTCTTTTGGGATATAAAAGAAAGAAGTGAGCAGAGAGACATGGGGGACCTCATACCAACAGGAAAGCAGTGCCAGGAGCAGATCGCATCCTTTGGACCGGGGTCCCTGTGCCGAGAAGCTCCTAGTCCGGGGGAATACCAAAGAGAAGAAGGCGAGAGAGAGAAAAAGCCTTCCCCTGGAGCTGATGCCCTGAATTTGGACTTATAGCCTACTTTGACTGTGAGGAAATAAATTTCTCTTCGGTAAAACCATCCACTTGTGGTATTTCTGTTATGGCAGCACTAGATGACTAAGACACTACTCAAAGGCAACTGGTGTAGTTTTAGTTTTTCCTGCTTTTGGAATTCATATAAATGGATTCATACAGTCTATGATTTCTTTAGTTCAACATTGTTTCTAAGATTCATTCATGTGGATGTAACTGTAGTTCATTTCTTTTCACTGCTGTATAATATCCCACCACATGAGCATATCACAATTTCTCTTAACGGACATTTGAGTAGGAGCCCTGGTGGCACAGTGGTTAAGCACTCGGCTGCTAACCGAAAGGTTGGTGGTTCAAACCCACCAGCCGCTCCATGGGAGAAAGATGTGGCAGTCTGCTTCTGTAAAGATTTACGGCGTTAGATACCCTGTGGGGCAGTTCTACTCTGTCTTATAGGGGCGCTATGAGTCAGAATCGACACGACAACAGTGGGTTTGGTTCGGGTTTGTTTGGACATTTGGGTTGTTTCTAATTATTCATTTTCATGAACAACACTGCTGTGAACATTCTCGTACATGTCTCCTGGTGCACTTGTACTTTCATGCACAGCTCTTCCTACCTTGCTCCAAGTACATTTGTTTTTGTTTTAGAAAGGCTTTCTCCATTAGAGACAAGGGGAACTTGCTCATGCCACAGGATCCAGGTATGGGGCCAGAGTCAGCAGGCTGGTGCCCCCTAAAGCTGCATGTGGCCCAAGTGGGAACAAGTTAGGGACTCGTCACACAATGGTTGGGGAGAGAAACAGAAGGGGCCTGCTGAGTGCAGTCCCTCTCCTTGGTGTCCCACTCACCCTGCACCGTGCCCCAAGGATACTGCCGTGCCTTCATCATCTTGTTGCCTATCTTCAGTTCTTCTGTGCTGCCAATGACAGCAAATGGCAGGTGGGCCTGAAACAGAGGGCAGAAAAAAAATCTCAGAGCTCCAGAAGAGAGGCACAGAGCTCCTGACAATACAGCGGCTGCTCATCTGGGGCCTCAGGCCCTCAGACTACAATGTCCCTCACACTCATCGTTGCCCAGAGGCATTTATTAAGCAATCTAGCTGTGTGGGAATAAGAGGCCCAGTCCAGGCTTCTGTTGTTCAGAAATTCACGACAAAAGATAACAATGACATCGCCAAATGCATAGAAAACAAAGAGAGAAAATAAGCCATATAATAAGCAGATACACAGAAAGATTACGTTAGGTATTCACTAGTCATAGTCGCTGAGGGGAAGAGCCTTTGGTGAGTGGGATGGAGGGGGTTATGCATGGATAGAAAGGATAAAGGAGAACCAAGGGGGCTGAGATCACTAGCCCTCCCCCGTACCCAGAATGCAACGGCCTTGAGAATAGGTACATACTGAAACCACACTGCTGACTGAGCTGTACTCTCCTTATTCCCATCCTTCCCTGGAGCAAGAGCTCACCCTGAACTTTTTTTTTTTTATTGTTGTGCTTTAAGTGAAAGTTTACAATTCAAGTTAGTCTCGCATACGAAAATTTATACATACATTGTTTTGTGACCCTTGTTGCTCTCCCTGTAGTGTGACAGCACACTCTTCCTTTCCAGCCCAGATTTCCCGTGTCCATTCAACCAGCTCCTGACCCGCTCTGCCTTCTCATCTTGCCTCCAGACAGGAGCTGCCCATTTAGACTCATGTATCTACTTGAGCTAAGAAGCACACTCTTCACGAGTATCATTTTATGTCTTATAGTCCAGTCTATTCTTTGTCTGAAGAGTTGGCCTCGGGAATGGTTTTAATTTGGGGTTGACAAAGAGTACGGAGGCCATGTCTTCCAGGGTCCCTCCAGTCTCAATCAAACCATTAAGTCTGGTCTTCTTACTAGAATTTTTGAGTTCTGTACCACACTTTTCTCCTGTCCGTCAGGGACTCTGTTGTGTTCCTTGTCAGGGCAGTCATTGTCACACTGAACTCCTGAGCTTAGAAGTCAAGTCAACAAGTCTTTACCCAGATGGCCATTACTGTGCTGAGTTCTGTTTTAGGTGATATAATGAAGACAAAAGGAACCCTGGTGGCACAGTGGTTAAGCACTCAGTTGCTAACCGAAAGGTTGGTGGTTCAAACCCACCTAGTTGCTCCATGGGAGAAAGACCTGTGATCTGCTCCTATAAAGATTACACCCTAGGAAACCCTCTGGGGCAATTCTACTCTGTCCTACAGGGTTGCTATAAGTCAGAATCAGCTCGATGGCACACAACAACAATGGAGACAAAAGAAGGAGCAGACATACTCCCTTGCCCTCTAGGAACTTGCAAGCTTGTTGTAGAAGCCAGAATCACATATCCAAAATCATATAAGACAGCATATGACCAAGGGCTCAAATGTATGGTCTGATACTCTGTACATAAACCAAAAAACTAGTTGTTTTCAAGTTCATTCCAACTCATGGTGATCCCATGTGTGTCAGAGAACTGTGCTCCACAGGCTTTTCAATGGCTGTGACTTTTTGGAAGCAGACTATCAGATCTTTCTTCCGAGGTGCCTCTGGGTGGCTTCAAAGTTAGTAGCCCAGCACTTAACCATTTGCACCACTCAGGGACTCCACTCCAAACATAGTAGGTACTTTATAAACACTATTTGAATGGCAGTGGCAGGGCTGCAGGAACGCAGAGAGGAAAGAAGGGCAAAGTACAAACAAGGAGTCTTAGGCTGGGTTCGCTAGAGAAGCAAACCCAATGAAGTGTGTGTGTACATGTAGATAGATAGGTTTATCTCAAGGAAATGGCTCATGCGGTTCTAGAGGCTGACAAGTCCCAAGTCCATGGGGCAGGCATCAGGCTGGAGGCTTCTCCTCACTCACACAGCTGCAGGGACTGATGAACCCAAGATCGGCAGGTCAGGTGGCAGGCCGTTGGTTCACAGGCTGTGGAGGCTGATGAATCCAAGATAGGCCGGAAATACGGCAGGCCTTTGGCTCATGAATCCCAAGATTGGCAAGCGATATGGCAGGCTGCTGCCTCAAGTCTCAAAACCAGAGGTCAGATGACGAGCTGGATGCAGGATCCAGAGTAAGCAAGCGAGCTTTGCCAGGACGTCCATATACATATATATTGGATGCAGGCCACACCCTCAAGGAATCTCCCTGCTAGATTGAATTGTGTCCCCTAAAAATGTATGTCAGCTTGTCTAGGTCATGATTTCCAGTATTGTGTGATAGTCCATTTTGTCATCTGATGTGATTTTCCAATGTATTGTAAATCCTCTCCATGATGTTAATGAGGCAGGATTAGAGGCAGTTATGTTAATGAGGCAAGACTCAATCTACAAGATTAGATTGTATCTTGAGTCAATCTCTTTTGAGATATAAAAGAGAGAAGATAGCAGAGAGACAGGGGGACCTCATACCACCAAGAAAGCAGCACCTGGAGCGGAGCATGTCCTTTGGGCCCAGGGTCCCTGCACTGAGAAGCTCCTAGACCAGGGTAAGATTAATGACAAGGAACTTCCCCCAGAGTTGACAGAGAGAAAAAGCCTTCCCCTGGAGCTGGCACCCTGAATTCAGACTTCTAGCCTCCTAGACTGTGAGAGAATAAATTTCTGTTTGTTAAAACCATCCACTTGTGGTATTTCTGTTATAGCAGCACTAGATGACTAAGACACTCCCCTTACAACTGATTGGCTGATCACATCAGATTACATCATGGAGGATGACTACATCATTACATAACTACCAAATTACATCATTACATAACTGCCAAACCACTGAGAATCATGGCCCAGCCAAGTTGACACACAACCTTAACCATCACACAGGGGTACGAGCTTGGTGCTTGCAGGGGAAAATGAGGAGTTGGTTAAGCACTTGACTATTACCTGAAAAGCTGGAGTGTCAAATCCACCCAGAGGCACCTTGGAGGACAGGCCTGTTGATTTGTTTCTGAAAGGTCACAGCCTTGCAAAACCCTATGGAGCAGTTCTACTACGCACACTTGCGGTCGCCATGGGTGGGAATCAACTCGACGCAACTAACAACAACAGGCCTGGCTGATGAGGCTTTGTGTATCAGAGAAGAGGCTGTCTCCAATTGGCAAGTTGGGGCCTGGGAAATGCTCACAGCACCTTGTTCCTTCCACAGGGAGCTGGCCAAGTTATAAGTACTGCGTCCCTCCTCAAAAAAACCAAACCCACTGCCTTCGAGTTGATTCTGACTCATAGCAACCCAGACTGCGACATCTTTCTCCCACAGAGCAGCTGATGGTTTCAAACTGCCAACCTTTCAGTTAGCAGTCAATTGCTTTAACCACTGTGCCACCAGGGCTCCTTAAGTACTTCATCAGCACTGGCCAAATAGAACCACCAAATAAACATTATTTACAAACCAGGTGACCCTGGCTGCAGCTTTATCCAAAAGGGCTTTACACCGACAGGTAACATGCCCACTGGAACAAACTTTCCCACCCCGCTTGAAGAAACAGGCCTCAGGTTCAGGTATTTTGACCCATTTTCTCATCAATCCATCCTACAAGTATTTACTGTGCTCCTGCTGTGTGCTCGGCATTCGGAATACAAAGCTGAAAAAGCACAGAAACTTCCCGTGGAGAGTGCACAGTCTGTTGGAGGAGAACGACATGCTGACAATAATACAGTAAGATCAGGAGTATACACAGGCTCACAGGCTACAGAACACAGAGGAGGGAGCAACTAACTTCCTGGGAAGTCAAAGATGTCTTCACAGAGTAGGCAGTAGTAATTGTAGTAACAGCATTAGTAGCTATAGAAGTAGTATTAGCAACAGCAACAATTTATTAGGCACCTACTGTGTACCAAGTGTTTTACATTGCATTATCTCATTGAATCTTTACATGAGGTAGGTACATGCTCTTTATTTTTTACGAATTTATTTAATTTCTTTTGTTGTTGAAAATCAACAGAACATACGTCAATTTAACAATTCTCAACAATGTACAATTCAGTGACATTGATTACATTCTTCCAGGTGTGCAACCACTCTCACACTCCTTTTCTGAAGTGTTCCTCCCGCATTGACATGAACTCACTACCCCTAAGCTTCCTATCTAACATTTCCAGTTGCTGTTGTCAGTTTGACCCCATACAGACAGATCTTAAAAGAGCACAATGCTCAAAGCAGACATTCTTTACTAGTTAAGCTAAACTAGTGCTTGGTTTTAAGAAGACTGCAGGGGATATTTTTGGTTTAAGGTTTAAAGATTATCTCAGGGCAATAGTTTTGGGGGTTCATCCAGCCTCAATGGCTCCAGAAAGTCTGGATTCCATGAGAATTTGAAATTCTGTTCTGCATTTCTCTTCTTTTGATCAGGATTCTTCTATAGAGTCTTTGATCAAAATGTTCAGTAATGGTAGCCAGGCATGGTACCTGTAAACCTCACCGCAGTCAAGTTGATTCTGACTTACAGTGACCCTATAGGACAGAGTAGAACTACCCCATAGGGTTTCCAAAGCTGTAAATCTTTACGGAAGCAGACTGCCACATCTTCTCTTGCAGAGCGGCTGGTGGATTTGAACCACCAACCTTTCGGTTAGCAGCCGATCACTCTAACCACTGTGCTACCAGGGCTCCTCTTGCCAGGCACAGTAGAACAAAACTAAACCTGTTGCCATTGGGTCAATTCCGACTCATAACGACCCTGCAGGACAAAGTAGAACTGTCTCATAGAATTTCCAAGGAGCGGCTTGTGGATTCAAATTGCCGACCTTTTGGTTAGCAGCCGAGCTCTTTAACCACTTCGCCACCAGGGTAAGTTCTCTTATTATTCCCATTTTATAGATGAGGAAATTGATGCCCAAAAGGGCTAAGTGACTTGCCAACAGGTACACAATCATAAGTGGCAGAGCTGGGTGTGGGGTTCAGGTCTCACTGACTTCAAAGTCTACCCCTTGCTGGTTTTCTGCTCTCATTTAGGG